AGCAGAGTCTCTGAGGCCAAGAGAGTGGAGTTTTTTGAGGTGGAGGGGATGGTCAACCATATCAAAAGCCACAGAGAGGTCAAGTAGTAAGAGTATTGCTAGTGGCCATTGGTTTTAGCTGGTAGTAGATCATTAGTGAGTTTAGTGGGGCAGTTTCAGTGGAGTGTAGTGAGCGAAAGCCAGACTGTAAGGGGTCAAGAAGGTTGTTGTCAGTGAGGTAGGAGCTCAGGCAATTGTAGACTAAGAGTTCTAGGAGTTTAGAGGTAAATGGAATCAGGGAGATGGGTCTTAAATTGTTCAGGTTGTTGAGGTCCAGGGAGGGCTTTTTAAGTATGGGAGTGATGTGTGCATGCTTTAGAGGGGAGGGGAAGGCACCGTTAGAGAGGGGAGAGATTGAAGATGTGAGTGAGGGAGCATAGGATGGAAGAAGAGGGTGACCGTAGTAGTTGTGAGGGGACAGGATCCAGGGGGCAGGTAGTGAGACGGGCTTCTGAGAAAACCTTAGTGACCTCTTTGGTAGTAGCAAGGTCAAATGAGGAAAGTGTTGAGGGAGGTTTAGTATAAGGTATGCTATGTGGGATGGATGTCTGTGCAGTGGCAATGCCCCCACGAATTGCGTCAATCTTATTTTTGAAATGATTTGCAATCTCGTGAGCAGCGAGTGAGGTACTGGGTGGAGGTGGAGGTGGAGAAAGTAGAGAGTTAAAAGTAGAGAAGAGACGATGAGGACTGGATGACAAGGTATTAATAAGAGTGACAAAGTAGGCTTGTTTGGCAGCATGAAGGGAATGCTTGTTGAGATTTGGTTACGCCACAAATCGCTCCAGCAGATGCCTATGTTGTTTAAGATTTCTGGTGTCGTCAGTCTGCCAAGGTTGTAATGGTTGGGGCCTGATGCTTCGTGTTGTTAGAGGAGCAAGTGAGTCTAATGTGGATGAAAGTGAACTGTTGTAGACAGTAGTGGCCAGGTCAGGGCAGGACAGCGGAGAGATTTTGTCATGGAGTTGGTCAGTGGAAAGGAGCGGTTTTCAAGTTGTGAAGGTTTCTGCGGGTAATTGTTTGCTGCCTGGAAGGACAGGTGTTTGAAGACGAGGACACTGTGAAGGTGATGAGATTGTGATCAGAGAGAGGAAACGGGGTGTTTGTGAGGTTGTAGAGAGTGCAAAGATGGGAGAAAACAAGGTCTAATGTATTCCCATCAGAGTGAGTGGAGGATTGTATACATTGTGCTAATGCAAAAGATGAGGTTAAGTTGTAGAGTTGGGATGTAGCCAGGTTGTTGACATTAATAGGGATGTTAAAATCTCTGAGAATGATAGTGGGTAGTTCAGAGGAGAGAAAGTAGGGTAGCCAGGCAGAGAAATCATCAAGAAAGCAGGACACCGGTCCAGGAGTTCGATAGATCACTGCCATCCTCAGAGAAATGGGAGAAAACAGCCGGATGCAGTGAGTCTCGAAAGAAGAGAAGGATAGAGAGGGAGGGTTAGGGAGGACTTGAAAGGTGCTCAGTGGGGATAGAAGCAAAGCAACCCCACCACCTTTCCAACCACTGGGTCTGGGTGAGTGGGTCCAGAGAAGGCCTCCATAGGAAAGTGCTGCGGGAGAACCAGAATCTGCTGCTTGAAGCTAGGTTTCTGTAGTTGCTAGTAGGATAAGGGAATGGGAGACAAAAAGGTCATGGACAGAGGTGAGCTTATTACAGACAGAGCGGGCATTCCAGAGCGCACATGAAAAAGGGAGAGTGGTTTTTGTGAGCACGGGGACTGATTAAATTGAGGGGATTGTGGCTGTTCCTGGAAGAAAGAGGATGCCTGGTGTGGGGGTGAAATAGTGGAGGACCAGGGTTTGGAGAGATATCCCCAGAGGTTAGGAGAAGAAGAAGGGTGAGAAAAGAAACATGGGAGCGGGATGTACACGAGTGCACATGCCTTCCAGTCCTGGTGTTTGGGTCAGCAGGAGAGTAAAGTATCAGCAGGAGGTGATGAGAGCAGCAGTAGGGAGATGGTAGCAGCGAAGGTAAGATGTACAAGTTTTGGGGTGGAGCAGAGGGGTAAAGAAGTGAGATTTTGGGAACACAGCATAGTAATATGAAAAGGAGGAGTAGAATGGACATATTAAAAGGTACACGGAGTGGGACTCAGACTTGTAGGAGATGTTTGACAGGGTGTTTGCTTGCAGTCCATCCAGCATGCAGTAGAGTTTCTTGTTGCTGTATCTTCCTGCTGCTTGAGTTATCCTGCTTTAGTTAAACTGCTGTGTTCAACTGCTCTTAGCACTCTATCAAAAGCAGCACTCCATCTGTGTCCATGCCCCCACACAGGCCACAGTCTAAAAAGAGTGCAGCAAGAGGTGAGAACTACTCAACATAGACAAAAATATATATACACTATTTGTTCTGAAATTAACAGGAGTCCATGCATTGTTTCAGTTTAGAATGGAGAAGAGCAGATAGCAGCAAATTACCCAGAGACAGCTGGAGTCTATGCGTTGTTTCAGTTTAGAATGGAGAAGAGCACATAGCAGCAAATTACCCACAGACAGCTGGAGTCTATGCATTGTTTCAGTTTAGAATGGAGAAGAGCACATAGCAGCAAATTACCTGTGAAAATCAGGGAAGGCATGATTGCACATGTTTGTGACAAGTTCACTTTAACTAAGGTGATTTGATTTTTTTTTTTCAATTCCAAATTATCCATTTCAGCACATGCTCTATAAGCCTTGATAATGTTGTCTTTTCTTTCCTTTTCATATGTCGAATGTTTATCTACAACTAAACAGGAGCGTATTCATCAGCTAATTAAACCATCAAGCATCTGTTGAAACCTCATGCCTGGTATCCTATTGCTTCTCCAGCATACTAAATGTGTATGTGAATCACAAGCCTGTCGTCTCAGCTATGGCACAGGTGTTACTTACAGCTAATAGAAGCAAGTGGCACTTTCATGGCAGAAGAGAAATGAAAACCACAGACATAGTACGGGTTCATAGCACTTTAGTTTGCTTGTGTGCTACACCTCAATGTGTCCTGTCTGTATGTTCTATTATACTGTCATGGATAGGAGTAGTGGAGTGTATTGTTCCGGAGGACATAAAATATGGGTTACAATAAGGGCAAACATGGCATCAGAAGTCTAGTAATCACAGAACAGACAACCGATGGTAAATCTACTTTACTGCAGATGAAGATGGAAGACTCCTCAATCTCCTCCTCTCTTGGCACTGAGTTTCACACTGACACTGAACCTGAAAGTACTCAGTTCTGGGCTGTTGGCAACTGAAAGATCATAGCCAAGTAAAAGAAAATTCAGACCCCAGTAACACGGTGAAACTAAATCAGAGAGCAGTACAAAGGAGGCTTTTCTGGCTAATAGAGATATCAGTTGTCTTGGTGTGTCATCTTTTAAGGCTGGTGCGATAAGAAAATCATGTGAAATTTTCCGTACAAGGAACAATCGGTTGATCTGTTCATTAGTATAGTGCTTTTGACAGCCAATTCTGACTATATGGACAGAAAAAAAACCCCGAAGGTACAAGCTAGAAAAATTTTTAACGTACATGAACACGTCTAATTTTCGCTCAATGTACACAGTAATTGTATGGAAATAGTTGAATAAAAAAAAAATTGTGCATGATCAGAAGCAAAGAACAACCTGGAAGAAAGTGGTAATAAAAATAAAAACTGTACACAAGAAAAACATTTGCCTACGTCACCCCGAGAATTTTCATACAAGTTAATACCATCCACAGCTACATCATGAATACGCACCTTTGTGGAAAATTAAGACAATCTTTTGTCCGATTTTCTTATAGTGTGTACTAGGCTTTAGACAAAACCCTACATTTTGTCCCTTTGAAGGCCAGGAGTGTATACCATACATCATGACTGTACCCATGCTAATGATAGCTAATAGTATGAGGACCTTTCATCACATCTGTATATTGTCACCAGTGGGCTTTTCAGCCCCCTCGTAACAGTAATAAAGTTAAGTAAAAAAAACAAAAAACATATTAAAGATAGTCAATACCAAACATATAACACCTGCAAACACATACCACACAAATTGGTAACTAGCTTGATTACAGTTTTGTGTATATTAAATTTAAATTTATAAAAGCAAATTGTTATCTATCAATTCAGTTTTATAAATTATATTTAGTAGGAATTCAATCACTGGGGGGGGGGGGGGGGGGGGGGTATTTATGCTGTGTTTGTGTGCATTGTGTGAGCTAATATAACCAAAAATACTATTTTATTTCAGCAACTATCAAGGACATACAAAACCTGTTGACTGAATAGGCCCAAGCTTATATGATTTGAGGTTTGGAGTTGGGGGTTGGGGTCTTCTACAAACTTATTAAGCTACAATATACATATAAATAAAAACCCAAGATCAAAAAAAATGGTGGTCGTTATAGGGTTATAAGTGTAAAACAGAATACAAACTCACCCTATATAGGCAGTTGATATGTATATATTTATACTGTTTTACCTGCAACAGGTTTTGCAATTGTGTTGAGGTAAACTTTTCATTTAAGCCGGCCATAGAGAATTTGAATCTTGGTCAGTTCAGCAGGAACCAGACAGATTCGAACCATGTATGGGCTGGCTGAATGTAACCAAGTTGGTACAACCAGCCTGCTGGATTTTACATGCGATTATTACCAGGGGCTGTCAGAGCCGCCAGCAGTAATCACTGTGTTCTCCCAGCAGGAACGGCTCCCCCCCACCTCCCCACAGAGAATACAATAGCTGCGCTGGATGGACTCCCCTGTCAACACTGTCTATATTGATGGGGAATTGAGCAAATTACTTTACTGCAACCCACGGTTGCAGGAAAGAAATTTGCTCCGTCTATGGGCTTTGATCAGACTGAGGGCGAACCCAAATGCACTCAAGTATCCACCAGGGTAATCTCCGGCATCTCCGGTAACAAGAACTTAGGAAAAACACCGTCCTCCGTATTGATCCTCTCTCTCACTCTCCCTCCATGCTGGGTGCAGGGGCGGACTGACCATTTGGAAACTCGGGCACTGCCCGAGGGCCCGGGGGTCAGTAGGGGGCCCCATAAGTTGCCCCTGGTACCTTTTTTCATAGGCTTTTTTGAGTTTGGGCAAGGACACAGGGGCCCCATGATCCCCTATTGCCTGGAGGCCCCATGAATTGTCAGTCCGCCCCTGGCTGGGTGTACTGGGTGGACTTAAGGGCATGTCCCCGCCCCTCCCTCACACTTCTTGGCTCCAGCAGCACTGTTTTGCAGGACTGTTCTCACACTTTCATTAACCCTTGCTCAGCTGAGCCGGACTGTATGGGCTTGGAATGTGCTGTTTCTAGGCAGGAATACTTGAACAGTCCATGTTGACTGGCATAAGTAGAATTTGTATGATCATTGCAAGTAGCCCCAGCCACTGTTGAGCAACTGGGTGATGCTTGTGGAAACGATGGCCCATTGTATTTGGAAATGAACAGGTTGAATTAAAGAACAGTGTTTGACCTCAGCCACTGTTGGCTACTGAGAAATATTTGTAATCCACATAGATATGATGGCCTGCTGTAATTGCTACAGGTGATGATACAGAGATCAGCATAGTTCCTACTGGTATTTGCAAGATTTGCAGCAGGACAGTCATTAACACCCCGGTCACACCGATCGACTTTGAAATCGTGCTACTTCCAGTGAAGTCGCACTATTTCAAAGGTGGATGTCATTCTGACATGAGGTGCAACTTGCAAGACATCTGCGGCTTGGAAGACACAGATGTCTATGCAAGTTGCACCTGACGTAGTGCATGCACTACTTTAGAAATCATTGCGGTTCTGACCAAGTCAGAATTGCACCGATATGACCACATTAATTGTGGACAATAGAGTGTGACTTGCCATGCAATTCGCAACTCACATGGAATGGAAAATTGCATGTCAAGTCGCACATGGTGTTACCAGGGTGTAATGCCAGCCACTGTTGGGCAACAGGATGACTTTTGTAGTCCATGTGAATGCAGCAGCCCAGCATGGTTGATACAGATGACAGCATGCAGAGCAACAATGCAATTCTCACTGAAATGAGCAGGTTGAAGATTAGCACATTCTTTAACTCCAGCTACTTGTTGAGCAGCAGGAAGACATTCAAACTTCATAGAAATGCAGGGGCCCAGCATGGTTGCCACGGGCAACATTACAAGTAACAGCATACTTTGACAAAATACAAAGTTCCACAAAGCAGGTAGCACAACACAACGTCTCCTCTCTGGCTTGTTTGTCTAGGGTTATTCCTTACAGGAGTTTGCTATGGGCAACTGCTGTGCAGGTTATTATAAGGGAATCCCGGATGAGAAACACAGGCAACACGTATTTTCCACTTGTATCCAGACACAAGAAATAGTCCATGGGCTTGATAGGGGAAGGGCTTATGGGATGCCCAACTTGATTGCAGAATAACAACTGAGGACAGTTTCCTTCTCTAGAAAATACTACAAAAATGGCAGATGAATGACTGTGTTCCAGTCAAAACCATGACAGTCTTTAGCAAAGTAAGCAATTTGCGGGAACTCTGAGTCCCCTAATTTCCCTAAGTGGACAAAATGCAAGTCCACTTGGCTATGGTATCTTATCCCAGGACCAGGGATTGGGTAAGCTATAAACTGTCCCCTGAAGACTTACCAAGAACTTGCATCCAGTACACTTCTCCTTTATAGGCCCTGGGGGTGTAGAAGTACTCACACTGTCCTTGTTCTGTAGCTGTGGATAGAACTGCTTTCAGGCCTTCTATGTGGGCTGGTGCAAGCTTTGCAAGCTGTCCTTCCCCAGTGGACTGGTAGCGGAGTTCCCTCTTTCAGCTCTCCTCTTTCCTCCTTCAGCTTCAAGCCTCCAGCTGGAGGCAGAACCCCCCTTCTACAGGGCCCCTCCCAGGCTATACAGCAGCACCTCTCAGCACTCCATCTTCTAACTGACTCACCTTCTGGCCAGGCTCTGTCATATTTATGGGCTGGTCCCTCTGCCTGGCATTGGTCAGACACCCATAAATATGTAAATCAATCCCTCCTCACCTCTGCCTACTGGCTTCTAGAAACCTCCTCAAGTTTCTAAAGCAGGGGGAGGTACCAGAGGATTGACCTGTAGAGCCCTCCAGCTTAACCTGAAGTAACCCTACCTTTAAACCCAGGCTTCTAGTAACCCTCTAACTACTCTGACCAACTATGTACACCAGAGGGTGCTACAGGGAAATGTAGGAATGATTATTGCTGACTTTCTTCACTTACACTGAGCCTCTGGCTTTATCACCTTGCAGGTTACCTATAACTATACAAGTACTTGTTATGGGTCAGTGAATCAAAACTGAAGAAAAAAGGGTCTGTATGATAGCCAAGCAATTAAGGGGGGATCACCAATGGCAGTATCTTTTTTCTCATGACAGGTGTCTTTATAAATGAATAGTGGATATATTTTCATATATTGCATGAGTTATGTTTATTATGTTGTTGAGTTAGAAGGGCATAGTCTACTCAATTATCATTTGCATACATACACATATTACCATTTGCAACACCTTTATAACTTCCTCTTTTCTTTGGTATATGTGGTCAGCTCATTTTGCTAAAATCATAATATTGTTTTTCTGTAATCTTAACTGGGTCAATATATGTTTTGAGAACCTGTTCTAGACCTCATTGCATACCAATCTACAAAGTAGACCTTGTGGTTAGGAGCATGGGTTCCAATTCTGCTGAACAGGCTTAATATTTGAAGATGAAGTGAGAAGCAAATCTTGATCTGCAATAATACAGCCTACATTTCTGGTATGGATACAATATACTGTAAGTTTTCTCTATGCAGTGGACCTTTAGGGCTGCACTTATCATTCATCATGGTTGTCAAATCATTCCTTAAAGCCTAACTGCAATCAAAACATTTTTTAGCTTTGGATAGTGAGGGGAAGGGTTTGAACCCTTCTAAGGTTTTTTATATAACATGTTTCTCCGGGGCCCCCTTCCAGGCTACACAGCAGCACCGCTCCACACTCCATCTTCCACACGACTTCCCTGCTAGCCAGGCTCTGTCATATATCAAAACTTTTCCTAGTTTTGGATAGTGCGGGAAGGGTTCCAACACTTCTAAGGTTTTATATATCATCTGTTTTGCCGGGGCTACACAGCACCACCTCTCCATCTTCCTCCTAACTACCCTGCTGGCCAGGCTCTGTCATATTTATGGGCTCATTTGTTCTTCCTTTTGAGGAGAAATTTCACTTCAGAAAGAAATTTCACTTCACTTTCTGTTTCACTTACATTCATCACTTGGACAGGAAGTGACAGGAAATCTACCCAACAGGGGCACTGTAATGACTGTAATGGAATGCGTGTCACCAGCAGAGGCTAGAGAGTGTTCTCTAAGGCACATCTCTGGAGCGTCAGGTTTGAAGGTGCAGATGTTGTGCTGCAGACACCACCAGATTGCCAAAATGGTGATAACTCACAGAACCAAAAACACAGCACAGAGTTGCAGATCAGGAATGACGTAGAACATTAAAATCCATTCAGGACAGCACCAAAGAAAAAATTATGATTTAGCCCAGGACCACACCCCAGATATAGCAACAATGTCCTTTAGTAAACATGTAGGCTTTATCTACAGTCCCCGCATCTTGGCCTTGCCCCTTATCACCCTAAGTGGGCTTAGCCCTAGATGACTAAGCTCAAACAGAATGAAACACATCAAAGGGGCATGGCCAAGATGCAGGGACTGTAGATGAAGCCTGCATGTTTACTAAGGGACATGGTTGATCTATCGGGAGTGCTGTTTTGGGCTTATCATTGCAGTGGATGAATGGAGCGAGACGTGCTCCTAAAGGGGCTGGCAAAGTGTGGGGAGAGGGTGCTAACTAGAAGGGATGCGTATGGATTTTTGAGCGCCACTGTCCTCCATACGCTATCAAAGAAAAGAATATCCTTATTCTTCTAGAAGAATATAAAGGTCTAATCATTGCTCAAAATAAATATAACAAACATCTGTATATGAGCCATTTCTTACCTGCGTCTGACAAGTTTTCATGACAGTAGTTTCAGGAATTGCCTTGTACTGAATGTCTGGGTTGGAAGAGTTAATATATTTATAATGAGGGTTACAACTACTAAAACAGCAGTCAGTGTTATTCACTTTTATTTTCATACTTGTGTTGCATTGCAGCAGAGAAGCGTTGTATATTGATTTATTGTGAAAGTTTATAGTTTCACACGTTAACATATGCAACATTCTTATTATGCTTAGTTGCATCAGAAGGAATGTCGGATTTTGATATAGTAAGGCTAGAAGCAGGGCAGGGCAGGGCAGGCAGCAGGTAAGCAGAAAATGAGGTTACCCAAGCAGATACAGTGATAGATTTAAAAACATAAAAGTAGCTAAATGGCTAGTCACAATCCTGTGATCACACACTGACATTATGTGCTGAACTAAATTTAAGTAACACTTATTGAGGTCAAGTGTGTAGCTGCAGCATGGCTAATGCTAGCCATACATTATACAATTTTCTTGTACAATTTTCCTTTAAATTTACAAAAAACCATATAACGAGGTCAAACCTAAACACTCAATTAGTATGAAAATGATGCAGGCAGACCCTTGCACTACATAGTTGAAAGTAAATCTAAAGGAAATTAAACAAGAAAATGATATAATGTATGGCCAGATTAGGCCACAGTGCTGAGTAATGTCTAGCAGATAGCGATGGTGAGGGTGTATAACCAGCAATTCCAAGCATTCCATGAAATGCAGCGAGGTGAGTGAAAAAGCCTCTTCTGAACAAACGTGCATGGGTCATTACAGTCAGAAAATAAAACCTGATGCTTTCTCAGTGTACTAAAAATTGCTTTTATTGCTGTCTGTTTTCCCATTGGGGATATTTCCTATTTATTCTGACACATTACATGACAGTAAGTGCGAAGATTTTTTCATAACACAGTCAAAGCGAACAATTAAAACTCAATAGAGGTTCTAACTCTCCTCTCTATCATAAACCTTAAAAGTGTAGCTGGTATTCTATCTATCTATCTATCTATCTATCTATCTATCTATCTATCTATCTATCTATCTATCCATTCAGTCGTATCCGACCCTTGGCGATTGCATGGAACCGTCACTCGTAAGTGACTTTTTCCATGAATTCTCTTAGCAATTATTTTACAGGGTAGGTT